AAAAAAAAAAAAAAAAAAAAAAAAAAAGAAAAAAAAAAGACAAAAATAGTCGGGCTTTTTGTTTCGATCATGAAAATACTGGAAGTCTTACAGTATCGGGTAATAGAGTGGTAAGTCGATGTGATATGCTGGTTTTAAAAACGAGTAGCAATATTTTTAGACCCTATTTTTATTAACTACAACGGGAACCTCTTAATTATGGATTTGTTGTCCATCACAATACAATAGACCTCTTGTTACAGGTAATTTGAAGGTGTACAGAACTGTCAGAAACAGCTCCTTCTGTCATAATATCTGTCCAATTTTTTAGGATATTCCAAACAGCAGATCACTCTCTTCTGGCCCATAAGCGAATAGAGCCGGAATATTACCAGCCAGAAGCTGCAGTCAGAGTAATTTTAATCTGTGCTCTGTTCCCTTGCAGTTCTCACGTTAGTTAAATTCAGAATCATATCTTAGAGTAAGAAACCTTGAGCTAAAAAATAACAGGTTTTAATGAACACTGATTAGAATAACATGAGTCGACGGTGATGTGAAAAACTCACCAATGCTTTTTTTACAAGCACATGAAAGATTTCAAGGTTTTACCCAATTTTATTCAGTATAATAGAGTGTCTGAGTGTACCCGTAAGACACCATTAAACTATATCTAAGTATTAGATAAAAGCTTTAAAAGAAGTGCTTTGTTAAACCTCAGAGATATACAAAAACTGATACGATAAAACAAACAAGGTTAAGTCTACTTTTAATAAAAGAAATATCGTATAAATCGCAAAAACATTTTCCCACAAATTCTCTTGTCAAAATAAAAAAGATGATTAAAAAACAACTGCAAGTCGTAATTCCGTTTCGCCGCTAGTCGCCGCTCAGCCTTTTGTTTTAGCTGCCTGCTTCTGAACAAAATCATAAGAAAAAAGATTATTTGAATTATGCAGCCAAAAACAGTAGGTTTATAGGAAGCAGTGATGAATTAGATAGTGGTAAAACTCATTTTATTAAAAAGGATATAAAAGAAAGTAAATCAAAGCATTAAAAATCAATGAAGTTTCTTCAGTATAACAATTCCTGTGAAAATTTTATAAGGAGAACAAATTGAAATCAACTTAATGAAAAAATGCAAAGACTTTCAGAATCAAATTGTTTTTTTCAAAAAGAGGTCTGCGTTGGACCGAGTGGTGATAGAAACTTTTTAAAACATTAGTTGTCGTTGCTGTCATTATATGTTACTTTCAGAGCATAATATAGAGGCAAAATAGTGAACGTAGAACAAAACACATAAGGCAGAGAAACAAGTGTAAGAAAGATTTGTCTCCATAACTTTTATATAATACATTAACTGCATTTGTCCTTATGCTATTCGTGAATATTGCATTAAAGACTCTGGCTATACGAAAGAAACAAAGGCCAACTATTGCTAATGCAAATAGACGACATCACCTGCAGCTGCAGTCGCTAGCAGGTGAGGAATTTTGTTTTTGCAGCCGTTGCCAGTTGCAGAGCAAAGAAACAATACACGAAAACTTTTCTTCATCTGAAAGACCAATTTCTCAGCCTCGACTTCATTACAGGCATAATCTCACTGCGACAATGTTGTTTAGAATCTCAGTAGAACCGCACTGACGTACAATATTGAGGAAAAATTTATTTGAATTATGCAACTAAAAGTTTAAGACGTTATTGCGCTTTCAAATCAACAACAATATGATTTTCTTTAGCCGTTTTAAAGTAGTTTACTACAGAAAGTTAGGTGATACCGAGGTACTGCTTAATAGAGCGTCAAATTTTCTGGCAAAGACTTCAAACTAAACTTCTTGCTAACCAGTGATAGTAATTTTACATTTTTACAGATTCAATAAATTACTAAAAACGATACCAATAAAGTGCCATCTTGCAGTTACCTTATCACGATATATAAGTTTAGAAAAGCGTAACGTCGAAGATGTCAACATTCACGTCTTTAAAGGAAAATGAGGTGTGTAAAATAAATGAAAATTTTATGTGGATTAAGTAAAAAGCGAAAGCCAAGCTACAGTAAGTGAAATATTAATACTGGAGATGCAATAAGATGGAGACTTGAAGTAATAAAAGTGTTGTTTTTTTGAACCATTTTGGATTGCCTGTGTGACTTCCACCAACGTTCAAGAGTAGCTGAGTCATTAGTGAACTCTTATGGTAACCAAGTTTTGTCATGACTCTCCATTTTTTACACTTAGTATGTCAGAAATAAGAATAAAAAAGGTATTACAATTGTTCTGAATGGGTCATATGCTACTGTGCTATAGTACACAGATGCCCAAAAATGAAGTTAACCTAAAAATCTCCAAAAATCTGTTCATTTTTAGAATTTAGTTTTTGACGCTACAAAAACGATTTGCAAAAAGAATCTGAATTTCAATGAAGTACGGAAATTTTCAACTTCAGCATTTTTGGCTAGTTCTTGGTACTTCTCCAACTACAGTACCGCTGTTAGCTTTCGCTTCTGCTGTTTCATACCATTTGATAATAATTGTAAGCTAATAAATTTGTGATATTTTAAATATAGACTGTGGCCGGAACCCACTGCATATTCCCAAAGAGAGTTTACTTTAGAAATAAAAGAAAATTTAATTTACTGCTTCTTAGAAATCACTAGCAGTTCAGATATTTTCTCACCAAACACTGCCAGGCATTAAATAAAGGCGAATATACACAAAATGACTGTTGTCCCACTCCAAAATTTAAAACCTCCAGATTCAACTGAACACTGTTCTGCCCCAATCCAGTTACATGAAGAAGATAATGACAGACGCCCACTGCAAAGTAATAGTATGCAATTTCAAAAGCTTCACCAGTTATGGTTACTAAGAAGAAATTGCATGATTATAATAAACCTTTCTTCCAGATAAAAGCCACATCTTTCCTTAAAAATTAAGACAAAGTGCATCTTCTATTAAAAAGCATATTCTTTGCAAAACAGAAAAAATTAGAAAAATGAAACAAAAACGCACAAATTTGTAAAAAAAAACTATTCCTATTGATATCAAAAATCCTACAAAAAAACACTGCAGGCTCGCCTATCTTTTATCTCTAAGAATATAAAACTGAAAAACGTATAAGGTTTTTAATGTTTTTTTCTTCTTTCTCTATCTCGTTTGATCGTTGAGGTAAAAATTTTTGCTGAAAAGCATAGCAGCTTTTAATAGTTTTTAAATTTGAACCTTAGACGTCTGTTCTGCGACAGAACCACCTATAACACTTATTACACTGCACAGAGCGCTGAAAATTCTTTACAAGATATTCTGCAGTAAGTCGCTGTGAAGTAATAAAGAACCTTTCGACTAGCCAGAATTCAGAAATGCTTTGACAAGGCGGTGTTTGAAACCCGGTTAAGATTACACGCGATAGGATAAATTAGAAAAAGTAAGTAGAATTTGAGCCCGATAATCACGGCAACAAGCTGTCCAAAAAAGTTTCATAACAAGCCGCTTCTCTATTATATTATATTCTTCCCAAAAGAAACTAACAGAAATTGAAGTGTTAACTTACTTAATGTGGTTGTTTTTTAATAGCCTGACTGAATCTATCACACTTCGTTGGGAAACTTTTCTCATCTTTAACGAAAGAACCCGAAGGCACTCTTAACAACTTTATCCTAATTCAAATGACTAAATGCTTTTCATACCTGTTCTTCAGTGAAAAATTTTCTTAACATTATTATTAGCTCATTAAATTTGAACAGCAAGTCCCTCTTTAACCTTAAACAACCAAGATTTCACTCAGGCAGTTCACTATATCATAAATTTCTTGACTTCAGTTACAGACAAATCTGTTCTCTTGATGCATGATTATTTTTGCCAGTGTACGGTTTATCTAAAAACCACTAACATAAGCTCTTAACAAAACTGCACATTGGTACCGCCCAAGGCAAGTGAAACAATTATTTAAGGTTTTCATTCAACTTCCACAAAATCAGATACACGTTTAAACAGCTGCATCCATTACTTCTTCCTTTTACAAAAAATTACAATGCGGCAAAAAACCGACTAGTAGACACATTTTATAATAATAGAGAAGCCCAAAACCCATCAAGACATCGAAACCCCTCAAGAATACCCGAGAAAAAAATTTTGGCCAGAAGTAGAAAAATCCACTGCCTTTTTCTGCAGTAAATTTAATCACAAAAACCTACTTCACAGTCAGTCGCCAAAATCAAAAGAAAAAAACCGTAACTGAAAGCGACATATAACACCCAACTTTTACAACTCAAGGTTATTTGAAGAAATCCCCTGCACTCTTCCAAAGCTTTTTGGTCCCGGTCAATTAGACCCTGATGTCTAACTGCGCAAAACACCGAAATCCCGCACCAAACTGCAGAACTCCACACAAAAAATGTTTTATGCAGCCTAATTCAACAAGCACCCAGCTTTCAACACTCCTGGTTTTACCAGTACCACGCAAGCGGACTGAGAGCAGATCCCTCCACAAAAAACTTCCCAGTTACCTATTCTACCCTTTTCAGATGAAATTCTAAAAACCCATCAAAAAGACAAGCATCCACTCCCAGCAGCCTACTACTTATCGCCCAACCTCCAAAGTCCCTCAGTTAAACCCACAAACCAAAATTACGCCATGACTTTACTCACTGTCCATAACTAAACCCTTCATTAATACTGGAAACAATGTTTACCGTAAAAACAAGCTTACAATTCAGAAACAAAACGACAACTCAACTCCAGTTCCGCGACTTCACAATTACTCTTTCAACTCCTAATAGAATTTGGAAGCCAAAGCATTGCCATAAAATCAGCAACATTTTTAAAAAGTTACACTCTTAAAAGTAATCCTCAACTTTACCCAGACAGGAACCAGTTTCACGACAAGCCTTTTAACAAACTTCATCTGCAACCCAAAAGCCGAACCATTTTTTGCAGCACACCTACCACCTTCCGCTCAACAAAAAACAAAAAATTTTAGTCACTTAACAAAAGGCTTTCCAGGATCAGGCAAAATGACTTCTCAGCCACTCCCAAAACCTGCGTTGCGTTGGAAACCCCAACCATTCAAGAATCTAAAAGACGCATGAACAGAAGTGCTCCAGTCTCTTCCTGCAGCCAAAAATATACAAATAGGCTTTAGCCTACTGACAATGTACATCCGGCGATGCAACAAATGATATAAACGCATCACCGAACTGATTTGCAGGTCCCGTGAAACTCGATCCAATACAACTTGAATGCTTCCGCACGCAATTATTTTTTGGCACAATGTTACTCGAGAATGATCTATTTAAGACCGTTCCCAAAAGAAAAACAAGTTAACATTCTTTAACAAGGCATAAAGAATTGTAATAAAATCCTCAGAAAAAACATGGAACAAAAGATAAAAAAAATTCAACACCGCTCAACCATTCCACCAAACTGAACACTGACAACCACAAATTTTATATGTACAGCTACATTGCAACTTCACGAAGTTACAATTCTGTCGCCAAAAAATAAGCCAGAAATTCCACTCCAAAAAAATTAAAACATAAAGCTTAAAGGATCCATCCTAACCCATAAACATCTATCGCATAACCTCATACAAACTATCACATAGAACAAAGGCATCAACATACTTATCAGGACACAAATATTAAGAAATTAAGAAACCCTGGTGACAAAAAATTCAGACTAAAAGCCTGAAAGAAGAATATAAAATACAAAATCAAAAGTTTTTGACAGATGGCAGTGGGTAACTATACAACAAAAAACTTTTATCTCCAATGCGATTCACCAGTAACTGTTTCTGTTCGACTCTCAAACACCATGACTCTGCACACACTTATCCAAAAATGTTTAAAGTCCACCTGCCTAATGCCAAGAAATTACGATGACAAATGACCGACGGAGAAATTCATTACAGAGCTTACGATTCGCTTTCCATAAACCCGGGATGACTTCAGAAAGAAAGCTTTCCTGACTTTTACATCGAAATGCAACATCCAAAATTTTCAAATCATACATAAAGCAGCGGAAGAAAATCCTATCCGATTAATGAATACAGTATAGTCACAAATAAAAAAATAAAGAAGACTGAACTGAAATGTAAACCAACAAAGCAATAAAAGCAATAACTTTTGAAAATTATAAAGGTAACACTATGATGAGAACTATAGAAAACTATGACGACACAAATCTGAAAAATCAAAATTTCTAAATGACTACATTTTTTTGAACCCCACTGTTTTTCACCATTCCGCCTCTCCTGAGCATCGTTGGAAGCAGTAATCTTTACCCTGAATATGCATTATTCCATCTTTTAGGGTAAACTTCCACTTGCTACGAGCGCGATGAACCTGTAAAATTCAAGCCAATATTAGCTAGAGTAATCTACATAATATGCAGTACTGAATGAAGAAACTACTGTACAATAATTTCACGTTTCACAACTATTTGCAAGATGAAACGAAATACAAACAGTAGCTAAACGAACAAAAAAAAGGTCAAAAAACATGATTCCTACACTCAGTGGTATTCAATCAAAAAAGTTCCACAAAATTCAAAAATTAGGTAGTGAGTAAAAGTTGTCAAAAGCACCCTTGAAGTAAAAGACCAAAGATAAAAACCTCTTGTATGCAACATACTACAATAAGAACAAGTTAAAAAAAAGGCAGGATGTTAATTGAATATACCTTTTCAAATTGACACATTACAACATTTTCTGCTTCAAATAAACGTTCCACATCTTCATCATCACTCTGGTCGTCCCCTGAGTTTAATGGGTCTTCTTCAACCAACTCAAAAAAGAAGATCACTAATGCAAATAATCTTTCGACTGAAGTACATCAGCTGTTTGAAGGTCAATAAATAACCCACATAAAACAATTTGATTCGTCTCTTAACGTCTAGCAATCTGAATATACCAAAAAATAACCTGTTCTTCATCTTCAGCAGTATTTGTATCGTCATCTATTTGGTCAGCTATTCTACGGTAAGGATCATCGTCTTCATCTTCATCAACGTCATCCTCATCTGACGAAGAATCGCTAATGCGGCCGGTGCCGTCTAGCTGATAAACTGAAATTGGTTTCAACCGTCGTCCTCTAGACTGCTCATACAACTGTCCTTTAAGTTCTAATTTTGCTCTCAAAAAATAATTTCCCTTGTTCAAAGACTGCTTGCGAAAATGAAGGCGCTACAAAGTGGCTAATTTTAGTTCTCTATCCTAAAAAGCCGAATTAATTGTGAAAACACCTATAACCTTTCACCATAGACCTGGATCCTTTTCCTAATCCAGTACTCCCGGCCGACGAACCCGGTTGCGTATCAACTTCACCTGTACCATCCAGCTGCGGAACTCCTTCTACTTTCGTACTCATTTGATTCTGAGGAATACGACTTGGTTGTAACATTGCAGCCGAACTCAAAGTAACCGGGATTTGTTGACCATTCGCATTGACAATCATAACACTACTTCCAGGTGTCAAGTTTGGAGCCGTCCCTAGAATAAAGTGGTGATGGAACACAGAGGAAATAAAAAAAATACTATATTAAAGAAAGCGAAGCAAAAGTACCATGAACAATATACTGCTGTCCACCTTGATTCACTATTCTGGCTCCCTGACCTGGATGAAATATCATCCCTGACTGTATAGGCGTAGCTATTGTTTGAGAAGTGCCCTGTCCAACTTGCTGTCGCTAAATTTTATAAAAGATCTGGGAAAAGTTCAAGATTTTTTCATACAGAGTCAGTTTAAAAACCATAAATATTGACTTACTTGAACTGCCTGCTGCAAAACGTTTGTATCTGCAGATAATGGAAGACTTCCTGTGCTTATATGCTGCACATGCTGTATTTGTATATGTTGGACGTGCTGTATTTGCCGCTGCATTGGCTGACCATTGGTAGCTTGCATAACGACTGCCTGCTGCGGCATTTGAGAAGGAACACTCGGCTGCACTAATATATGCTGAAACTTATTTAAATAATGAAATTAAAGTATTTGAGTATAATAACAGCGCCTGGCTGCAAAGTAAACCGCTCTGTTGAACAGCGAAACAAAGTGAAAGTATTACCTGAGCATTTTGCGCTATTCTTATGGTACCAGTCGGCATTGCTTGAGGCGTGGTAGTCATCATATGTGGTGCAGTTTTAACCTGACGAATTGGAGGAGGTTGTACGGGTTTTGGAAGCTCAAAATCTACGCTGCCGCTTCTAATCAATTTGTCCTCCCATTCCTCAAAAAAGGAAAATGAATTTTTATAGAAAACCTAGGTACCTGCAAGGCTTTTTTGTAATGACAAATTTTTACAGGAAACACGAGTTTCTCGTTCTGTTACTCCTTAAAGCGAAGTACATTAGAAAATTTACTTCACAGTAGATCTGACCTAACCTTTTTCAACTGCTGCAAGACTTCTACATCAACGTTTTCATCTAAAAAAGCTTCTTTCACCTGACTAATGACATCGCTAATTACGCCTTTGTAAATTTCTGCCTGAAAAAAACATCACATACTGTCTGAAAAGAGAAAAAAAATCGTATAGAAAACCAGAACACAAATTCAATACGAAACTTACGATGGAACTGCCTTGCTGTTGCGTCATTTTTTCAGGCTCAATCAATAAAAGGCATATACCCGAACTAAAAAAATCTAAATTAAGAAAGTGGGATTTTCGAACTGTAGTAAAACTCTTCGACATATTCAAAGTAACAACGGTATCATTCATAAGAAAATTATTATTTAAGCGTTTAGTCTGATACACAAAAATCTGCGTCTCATAAATCTCTAGATGTCAAACTTTCCTCAGAGTTTATGCTCAATTTTTCTTCTCCGTTTAACGTGAAAAAGTGCCATTTTAACTGGTATCATTTTTTACGTTTAGGATGAGTTGTGAAAGTCTTGTACTTTTCCTACGTTTAAAAATCTTGTATCTTTTCTACCTATAGTCAGTTAAATATTAAAAAATAATAGACTTCTATAAAGATAGTACCAGCTTCAAAAACATTAGACAATTCTTCCTCTGACAGATAGAAACACCAAGTAGTAATAGTGAAATTTTAGCTCAAAAAACCAATTACTAGTCAAAAACAATAGAGAATAAAATAATAATTCTGATTATACTAAAATGGAAAAAGTGGAGAAATGCCATCTAGCAGAAACAAAAAAAAGCGTGATCTTAAATCTAACCGACTTACCCTCTTCCAAAAAACTCAATTTTTCTGATGTGTTGTTCATTCAGAGCCTGTCTTGAACGAAATCTCGACTAAACTGGTCCCACACTAATTCACCAAAACCTTTTTGCTAGTCACCACCGATGAAAATACCTCATAACCTCTAAACGGGCTCCTAGTTTTAAAACCGCTCAGCAGCAATTAGGAGAAATGTATAAGGCATATCAAATTCCAAAAATGTAATGAATACTTAAACAACTTTCATAAACAAAGTAATTCAAACACACATTAAACTGAAACAACCTAGCCTCATTCTCGCTCCAAATTCCAAGTTTACAAAAGAATATAAACTGCCGGACATCCCAAAAACAAAAACCCTCATCTACATCTTTAAAATTCTGCAAAGACGATGTCATCTCTCCAATGAATAACCTTCAGGAAACAAGATACTACAAAAAGTATGATTCTGAAATGCAAGTGGAACTTTGTACTTTGAAAATAAGTTTTTTTGGCTTTTAAGGTTCCAGACTCAGAAAGCTTTACTTGGCTACTGAATAAACAGCTTCAAAAGCCAAAATCTAAAAAAAGAACCTTCCCCCACCTAATACTCAAAAAACTGCTCTCTCATTTAATGCTCTAGATCTGATACACTCACCATCCCCAAGTGATGTCCTCTGACGCAAAAGTGTAAATCCCTTTAGTTCAGACCTTTGTCGTAACGTGACAATGATATACGTAATATGTAGTCCTTTCAGACATACGTCATTTACCCTTGCTTCGTCAACTTCACAAATACGAGTGGAACCACAAACCTTTTAAAAATAAAAACGTTACGGCGTCATCCAAACTACGCAAATGCTCAATTTTGTTACTAAGTCACACAAGTAAATAAGATAAAGATCAAGGATGATGGCCACAAGAGTCAAAAGCAGCGATCGAGAACAGGAAAAAAAAAAAGTTTGGGCAAGTGTCAAACTTCATCAAGCAATCTAAAAAGAGTTCTATGAGAAACCTACTTGTAAGAATGATATATGACAATAAAAATAAAAATATTTCACTATAAGATAAAAAAAGACCTCAAAAACTCAAAAAATCTTTTCGGTTTGACATAGGCAACCGTCATATTTGGAGTCTTCACCAGACCCCTAACCAGTCTAATTCACAAGATTTATAAAAAACACTTGTTCCGAAAAGCTGACTGGAAGATTTGAAATTTAATCCTCTGCAACAAACGAAAGGCAGTTCAGAAGGTGTATAAAACACCGATGAATGATAATGAATCTAGACAACGACAAACCCAATAATCACCAAACACTGTGCAAAGACCACAGAACGTTTTCAACGTTTTGAAAACTTTATTATGAATAACCAAAGAAAGCTCCGGAGGAAGTTAACTGCAGCAAGCGTACGTAAAAATTTGTGATTTAGACCAAGATATTTCAGTACCTGCATATAACTAGACCTGGATATAGTGTAGAGATCTTATTGCATTAGCCTTGTTGTCAAAATTACATACCCAAAACTTCCAATCACCAAGTGTTTTTATATGAAACCAACAATCCAATACATAATACTCAAAAACTTAAAATTAAAAACTTTAGGAACTATTTACGGGGAAAATTTCTGACTAAAATGGGAAAACTTACAATATCTATTAACTTGAAGCCCTCAGTTGAACGATTGCGTAGCCCATTTCAAACGCTGAAGCTTAAAATCTAAATATTTGTGGGCCTTTTTCTACCTAACCAACATTAACCGTTTAA